CGCAACAGATTCCTATAAAGACACCCAGACACGTGTGCGACATTTTCATAGAACCAGACAAGAAAGACACGATTCTGTACGGAACGACTGGGACTTTGTTCGTTAAGTAAGTATTTAACAGTAGGTTTTTACGTATCACGGTGGTCTGGCTGTGATTACTGGAGTCTTTAAAGTAAAATTGATGCAATGGATTGCGATCGAACGCGTCAGCGTTCCCTCGCCGTTTAAGGTTATGTTACACTGTCACGTACTGAAGAACCTTATCGAGAGTGAAAGGCAATTATTTGAAACACCGTACATAGATACGAATACTTCTGTTGAAACACAGGATAAGCATAATGATTTTAGAACGTAGTGTTTTTCTGATTAGTCTATGAAAATTAAATACTGAAAAGGTAGGACGAGGGGCTAAAGATCCTATGACATAACGTCACGGTAATCTTTGTTAAGGAATTATGCAGTACATTAATTTCTTTTAAATTTTCAACTCAAGTCGAATGAACCTTTATAATATCAAGATTTTAAGGAATCTATGACTGAAACCAGTACTCACCCTTTACCATCGATTTGGTCGTTGATGCCAAATGACTTCCGAAATCACTTTCCCCATCCCAAATAGCACACAACTTCAAGATGCCCATTTTACGGCTATATTAGGTCTGAGGCGCCTTTAAGCCGCCTTTAAGGCGTCATGTGCTATCTGGGATGCGATCGTGGAATTTCGTAAATTGTAAATTTCCGTTGTTTTTTTTTTCGTTCACAATGAAAAACGATACTTCCACGTGACCAACGAATCACTTGTAAAGTTACGTGGATTTCTCGTCACGGTTGTAATTATTATATTTCGTTAGCTTCTTTTTCTAGTGTTATGTCCGAAAAAACGACCAACTAAGGGCGAAACGATGCTTTTCCGTACGGGTATAATGCACTTTAAGGTTTAATTTTTTTTTAAGCTTTATAAAATTCTCTCGTTTATGCTCATCGACTCTTTCAACAAGGAAACTTATTATTTCGATTGTCATTGCTGCACTTTCTATTCGTGAAGAGTTACGACGCTCCCGTTTTTCCGCGTTCGATCCTCGATTGATTGGAAATCGGTGCGTAAGAATTCACGTAAAATCGAGTACGTATTCCGTTTTTTTTTTGCCGCTGTGACACACAGAACGCGAGAATCATCGTGATGTTAGGAGCATGTATAAAAGAAATCTCGACAGACACCGAAGACGGTTTTCTGTTACTTTGAAATTGAAACGAACGAAAATGAAGCGATTTTTCTGATTTGTCAGCCCTGTCCAGAGGTTCATTCGCGGCGGCGTTAATTCCAATGGAAAACCGACGCCATCTTTGTAGGGGGCGCTTTTAAAAGAGCAAACGTGATATCGATTTACAAAACTTGTAGCGAAAAAATATACGTGTAGGTCTTGTTCCTCCTATACATTATATCCGATAGTATATATACATTTTCTTATTATAATAGATTTAAGACGTGTGTGTGTGTTTCTGTGTATGTGTGTCCCGCGCGAGTAGAAGCGCGCTCATGCGAAATATATCGTGTTCAATGGAGTAGGATACTTTCTTGTTTAAAATTGACTGAAATTGTGTGAAGTTTTGATCGAAGCACTGTAAGAAGTGAACAGGAGCGAAGCGAAAGTTATTGCTTCGGTTTAGTTTTCAAAAGAAGGCGATGATATGTACCTAATCTAATGTACAGGCTGCGTCAGAATACGTGGACATAACCTCGCTGGTGAATTGGACGCGTGAAAACAATCGAAACTGTTCAGATAAACACGAATTCCATTTAGCCTTGTTTACAAGTTACGATTACTCTTTTGTTTTGGTAATTCACGAACACTAGGTTTCAGGACAATTCATGACAACAGTGGTATAAACTTTAATACTAACTTCAAACATAAGAACTGGCCATATTGCATGTATACTAGATTCAATTGTATAATATATTAATATGTATAACATATAATTTAAAAAAAAAAATAAATTCCAAAGAAAACCGCCTTTATGATTTGAATATTTTCAAACCAAGAAATTTGAAATCTATCGTTTTAACAGATTTGGCAGTTTTACTGTTAAACATTTTCTTAACAATTTTGACTGTAGTTATTTTTTCATAGAAGACTACAAGGGCAAATGGCATACAGGTTTGAATGAACCATTTTGTTTATCACGTTTGCCCAAATTACCATTTAATGACAACCCATTTTGACGTGCTTTGTACGACTTTATGCGTGATATGAGCGTTTTTCTTTTTTCGATTACTTCGATTGCACCGTGTGCATATCCGGTGCAGAAATATTCACTTCCTGTTCGATGATCAATGTTATCGCTCTAAACCTTTCGAGAGTGTCTTATTGAAGGGATTATTCTACAAGAGATTTATAAATTCATAAATTCTACGTGTACTTTAACGACAATCTTTGCTCAAGAGGAGAAGTTACTTTGCTACTATATCGACCTAATAGTAATACGCATTTGGTCGAGAGTTATCACTAAGAGACACCGATCTCTCATTTCCTTCTTGAAAGGACGTTGTAACAGACACAGAATACACATAGGTTATAATGCTATTTCAATATTTTTCAACCAAGTAAAAAATAAAGTATCCGATTGGATCAAGCCAAGAAGAGATTTTGTTCCATTTTTAGAATAAAATAGAACAAAATTGATACAAAATAAAAATATTTTCAGAAGATAGTATTTATCTAACCTAACCTAAAAATGCTTTACTGGTTGAATGAACGAATAAAAAATTGTCTACGAAAAAGTTAAAAAGATGACTTTTGGATAAAACAAAACTGAAAATGGGTTTTTTCTCTGCTGTTTCGTCTTCAGAAGAAGGAGATGGCTACGTCCACTTTCGCGGAGAGACGCGTTTATGTCAATGTACTAAATATTTTTATCCAGGTTTACGTCCCCCGTGTATAGTTAAGCTACAACAACAGTAAGATGAAACGTTTCTACACAACCGAACGAACACGACGTAGATTAGTCGCACGAGACATTATTATTATGTAAACAAAACGATTCGAACGTCCTTCTAAGAGTAAAAAGAATAGTAGAATTTTGCAAGTGCGCCGATAAGCTGTAGTAATACGTCAAGTTCAATTGTTTGACAATCGACCTCAGCATTCCTCTATTGCAAACCAATTCCACCCCAGTCGCAAGTTATATATTTCTCGAAGATTCACCTTTCGCGGACTGATTTTGTGAAATTTTCTTTATATCTCTACGATCCAACGTTCATCTACGAGTAATTTTAAAAAGACGACTTTGCTACTATTTTTCCTATCGAACTTGAAAATGTCTTAATCTCCGTGCCCCACCATCGATTTCAACCTTTACCATATGTGTCCCCATGTTTTCGAGCCATTATACAACGGTTGCAAACATGTCTCTTCCAGGCTCCTTCTCGTTTAAAATGGAACCTACTTGAATGATCCTCGCGGACATACTGTGTATTATACGTATACAATATAAATATACCATACGTAATATGATATACGTGGGTCATTCGATGTTTGAAGGGACAAAAAGAGCCCTAGTTCGAAAAATATCTAAATAAGAAGCACGATACCTTCCAGATCATAAGTTGGCGCATCTCTGTATACATAACCTCTATCAACAGGTGTCTCTAGGAAAGTGTACTTTTAGAAGAATAATGTTCACTGACCAGATTTCTGGTTTCTGAGGGTGCAAAACCATCTGAGATTCACTCCCAGATGCTTAAGGTATATTGCATGAATCGTGTCAATTTTTACAAGTCGGTTGATCAGTTCAAACTGTTACTAATACGCAACGTCGAGTTACTCTGCAATGAAGAATTGATAACAAATGTCCAAAAGTGGGTCGCACTTAAAACCTAAACCTAGTAGACCGATCGGACAACTGTGCAATTGTGATTGCGTCAAAAACTAATAAACAATAGCTGTTTGTCCCTTTGCTTATCGAACAACCATCGTATACGGTATTCAGTAATTCATAATATGTATAATGTAACAGGCGTATATATATATATATAAATCCATCATATATCCACTAATAACGGGACACTTGTTGTGCAGTACGTAAAAAAGAGTCTTGCGCGTGCACGATCAGGGGGGGGGGTGAACTGAAAGGCGCAAGCACAGAGTGGCGACATCTGTGGGGAACCGTGAACAGTGTGTTCTCATGAGACACATAACCTCTAAACATCGACGTGCACGCTTGTTTTCGGGGACAAGCAATAAGACACACAACGACGGAAATCTCCGCGATACAAGAATTGTCACCCATATTCCCCCCTCCCTCGACCTGTCGGCGATACCACCATTTTTGTTTTCAGCGATTCGTTGTGTTTATCGTAACCCGCGAAACAACACCCCCGTTACGTTGTTGTCGTCGTCGTTGCTGTTCGGAACGCGGATAGCTGGACTGTTGCCTTCGTCGTTCGATCTCGAACCATTGAAAAATCCCGTCGTATTACGACCTAGTGATTACGTTTACCTTAAACATCAATTCTTACGATACTTGTCATAGCAGCAGCATCGGTAAACGGCGCTGACACGCAACGAATCCATCGAGCTCTTTTCGTTTTTTTTTTTTTATCCGATGTGTTAGTTTAACTAGTGTGCGAACGCAAAGCGTCGATCGTTGATGTTGATTCCCTCTCGGTGCTCGAAATGTTTCAGGCGATCGTCATCCACGGATCAGGCTGGATGTCCCCTAGGTTTAAGCCTTCGTCGATTTGTTCGTGTCTCCAGATTCTGTTGTGGACTTTTGCACCATCGTCCATAGACGACTCAGATGTGGACCCTTTCGATGATCTTTGGATGAATCCTTTCGAACGGTCACGTGATCCGGCGATTTGATCCAAGATCAGCCATTAAAAACGATTCTCCAGTCGACGTTCTTGTTGATTGTGTCTTGGGAACTGTGCAGGTTCTGACGAATTCTCGTCAAACTACACAATAAACAGTAACTGCCATTCGTTTGTGTATTGTGTTTGTGTGTGTGTGTGTGTGTGTGTGTGTGTAGTCTCGTACTGAGTCATTCGTATGCAAGATGTAAGATGTGTTTAAGATTGTTTCCGAGGATGCTGCTCGGTCTTCTTGAATGTCTTTTGACGATGGGGCATCGTGGGGTATGACTGGTCCATGTGTGCGGGAATTAAGGCGCTAGCATCTTTGAGAGCTCCTCGTCCTGGAGGCAACCTTTTAAGAATTCTTCTTGGGTAAGCTGACCGTCGTTGTTCTCGTCCATCTTTGCAAAGATATTTTTGGCTCTCTCCTCCGCGCTGTCCGCCGGCCTGTTGCTAGAACATGCTCCGAGCATGTCGTATATTGCCTGGAAACAGAAAATCAAATATGGATTCGTTAACACTTTACTGACTGGGTAGCCTATTAAACCTTGGAACGCGGATGTTTTTAATGTGCTTGGGTCCATTTACAAGGGAATATCAGGGACTGATACACTCCGATTTTGATGAAACTTTGCATAAATATTTATTAGATCTATCTAAAAAGATAACTGTAATTTGTTCGTGCCCGTTTTTGACTTTGAGGGAGATACCAACCCTTTTATCCGAACCGCCCTTTCCATATACGTGTTTATAAGTCGTAAACAACAAAAGATATCAAAAAATGGTTGAAATAAAAGTTATACCGTTTCTTGAGATCTATAAAGCTGCGTGTAAATTTTTTTGAAAAATTGAATTCCCCACCCCTCCATTTTGAAGAACTTCATTTTTTTTTAAATCGATAAAAGCAAATTTATAGATCTCAAGAAACGGTATAACTTATGAAGATTTCTTTTTTTAAGTGAATTTTGTTCTTTTTATGTTTTCTTTTTTTGTCCTAAAATATTCTAAAATGTATTAAAATTACGAATATGTATTTTGTTTTTCCTAAATGTTACTTCAAATAGCAAATGCAAATTACATCATTTGACTAGATTTGTTTGACATTATCCATTCTGATACTATGTAATTCTTATTGTATACAGGGTGTTCCATATATACACGTTTTAAAAAGTGACAGGAAAGCTCCGCTCTGCGTAGTGGAAAATTTATTACTGTTCATTCAATTTCTTTATACACTCCCGCTCAAAAGTTTGGAGCACCCATTGCTTTTTGGGCGCAACAAACTTTTTCGCACATATGAGATTGTTTTATTAGACATATTATACTAACAAGCACTGTTTCACTACTATAAAGAATAATATTGTGAATAGAATATTTATTTACTTAAGAAAGTCATCGTTTCTTTTGAAATCCTATCATGCTCGAAACTTTTCAGAGCAAATGTATACATTACTACTACCATAGACGTCGCTGTTTTCGGCATTGTCAGATAGAGATTATCCTGTAATATGTGGTACAACCAGAGAAGAGGTGATTGTATGGATAAAAAACAAATCGAAACTGTAGAATAAAATTTTTCTGATGGAGTTTCAGTTTAACTTATTAATGTGTCTGTCTATAAACGGCTATTTCTACTTGGAATAAATAGTACAAATTATGTGCAGTATGATTTGCTCCCCATCAATCTTATTATTCCTACACATTAATGTACATTAAATTCTTATGAAAACTGGACAAACAAGCATATTGTCAACATGAACTAAATGGTACCGACGTGCTATCAAGAAATTTTAAAATCAATTTGTCTAAAAAAACTTTCTCTTAGATTTTAGATTTTTTTTCCCTACGTACAATTATCTCCTGTTTAGTAGTATTACTTTTATTAAATTATAATATATTTGTAACTGCAGAACATTTTGTATATTGGTAGTTTCGAGGATGTAACTTGTATAAAATTTTAGTGTCTTAATTTAAAATGAGTTATAATAGACGCGAAAGTAATGAAACACCGAGTAGAAACAAGTTGACATAATTTAGGAAGATTAATATGGCTCGACGCCAACAATATTTAACCAGAGTGCCGCAGGTGTGCCGTAAGAGTTCAGCGAAAAATTTAAATGAAATTAGAAAAATAAGGTCGCTGATGCAAATTATGGATGCACCAGTATTAAAATTTTAACCCCTACACTTGTAAATACAAAACTGACATTTTGTGACTCGGGTTTGTAATATAAAGTTTTTAAAATTGTATACGTCTCGATAATTTTACCGATATATCAACGAAACTTATTAATACGTTTCTTGTTTAAAATGGTACATAAAACTTCTAGCATATGAAATAGCATCTTTTTAAGTTCCTACAATTTTTAAACTGCGCGTTGATCGTAGTTCCGTTTTCCGTGATTTATTACGAGTAATCTATGAATAATTTATTAAAATTGTTTTTTAACAAAATATATCTGACAAAAAATTTCATGAAAATGATTTTCTGTTCTGATAATTAATAGAGCTCAAAATTTTACGAATGACTCATTTGATTCTCATTTATTTAAAAATTTTATGAGGAGTTCCTCAAACCCTACCTCACTATGGGCAAGAGTTAAGGGGAAATTCAAATGCTTTGGTATTTATTACATTCAATTGCATGGCATGTAAATGGTACCACCAGGTAAGGGGAACTATTAGTATTCCTTAGGTGAATACAGAGTTTTATAAAGTCATACTTATTTTTGTTGTACCAGAATTTGAACATTTCAAAATTGAAGGCCATTTTGTCTTATCTATTAGAAAGGATTAAATAACTTCTTGAGATAGTTTCACCAGTATCTTAAGCCTTATTGATGCAGTTGTGACTAGTTTCTTGGAATTCATCGAGGTAACATTGACAAATCTGTTGGTGTTCCATTGTGGGAGCTTCAATCAGTTTCTTAACTGGCCTTTCGGGTAGCCTCAACTAATTTCTTGGTACCCCTTCGAGACAGCTTTAATCAGCCCCTTCAAGTATTGCAACTGTCGTTAAACTAAACTTTGTATTGTAACTTTCAGTATTAATGACTGTATCAGACGCGACCACAATGAATGATCACGGTAATTTATCGTTCGGTAATTCTACTTTCGTAGTGAAATATTATTATCATATGATTAACATCATATATAGCTTATTCTTTTTAACAGTTTTCATGTTGTAGTATTAATCATTCTATATGCTAAATAATTAGAATTAATAAGAAAGTATTTTCGAATTCCATTTCGTAATACGACATAATATCGAATTCATTTTGAATACAGTTTAATATGTGCAACCCAGTTACAATCAGAATATTGAAATTTTCTATTAATTAGTATTTCGAAATTAGTGAAACACGCCAGGAACCGCACGATATGAATAAGAATTCCGCCATCAGTCACATAGAAACATACACTGTTGTAAAATTTAATAACTTCCATAATTCCAATGTGAATATGTCGAAAGAAACACAACAGAATATGTACGTGTACAGAATTGATCAGAACTAATAAAAATAAATTACGGAAATATATGTATAATTAAAATATGTGGTATTTCAAATATACCACTACTTAGACTTGTCGAAATATGCATGAACATTTATAAGAGAATTATAATAGATATAAGATATATATTATAACAATTATAAGAGAATGAACAGTTTAGAGAAAGTAGAAATTGTTCAAAAAAGGAAGCGAAACGAAATTTGAGTGTTCAAGATTATTCGCCAAGGATTATTAATCATTAAAAATTAACGAAGTCAAAAGAAACACTAATCTAACGGAATATGCACTACTTTATTTCAACTATGTTGAACTTATTATACTTATAATGTCACAAAAAAATGTAGTTAGAATGAACGAATATTTTCCGTAATTAACTATAAACTTCAATGTTACACGTGTTTATGAAACGTAAATTTTGTTTCTTATTTGTTAATGTTACACTCATTTCTAAAAGATAGAATTTATATGGACAATAGTGTATACTATGATGTATAAATCAAATATAGTCTTTGTATGTGTGAATTACTAATCAAAAATAAATTTTATTATACACACTGTTTTATTTCCGTCGTTAGACTACGGATTTTTATACATTTATAGCGTATTCAAGAATCCATAAAATTCACCACAGCGAAAAATTGAAGAAAATCCATTCTTTTACTTAGAATCTAAAAGAATATTTTATCCTCCGTTGCCATACTGAATCAAATTGACCCAGAATTTGACTTTGTGGCATCATTGAAAATAGTACTACTGGCGCCATGTATTAGTAATTTCAGCTAACTTAACAAACTTTTTTCAAGAATTTTTTAAACACAATGAAATTTTCAATGTTAATTTTTAATCATGAAAATATAATCTCCTACAATGTTCCAACTTCACCTCAGAATTTTTTGCGACTTAATTTAACAAATAGTTTTTAAAAAATAGTTGATTGAATACTGGCTTGAGTCAAATCGATTCAGTGTGACAAATATATACGTTTGAAAAAGGAAGTATGACAATGGAGGGCTAATAGAGTAAAGAAATTTCTGTCTGATTCTAGTTAATGAAAATTAATCCGTGAAAATCTACATTTCCATAAACATCAGCAGTTTAGTTACTACACAGAGTGGCCCATAAGCTCATTTATTGTATTTTTTTGAATAAAGAGTTATTAAAAAAACTTGAATAAATCGGTTTGCTGATTTATGAGACACCCTGTATGAGTGTAAATCGTACATTACCTGCACGATCTTCGTCATTTCTTGTATGTCGATGACGCCGTTTCCATCGACATCGTACATACGGAAAGCCCATTTCAGTTTTTCTTCCGGCGTGCCGCTAGATGTCACGTCGATCGCTAACAGAAACTCCTGCAACAAAAGATTACGATCGAACTTCAATAACGTGGATAAAGGGAACTTTTGTGTCGAGGGAAATCTTTGGCCAACATGCTCACCGTGTTTCGCGACCTCACACACTGAATTACCTTTGTGCAAGTAGTTACACCGATAGGAAAAAATAATTTCAAAAATAAACAATTATTAACGCAGATAACGAAAATTACGAGGATCTATTATGTCCCAGATAACACATAACACCTTGAAGACGCCCATTTTACGGCTATTTTAGGTCTAACGCGCTTTTAAGCCGTCTTTAAGGCGTCATTTAGCGTTATGTGCTATCTGGGGTAGTTCACCTAACGATAGCCATCCAAATATCTCCCTCAGTTGTGATTATACAAAAAAATATGTTGTATGTAATTTAAATGGTGACAAAGAACGAAGACGCTGCAAAGAATATTTTTGTGTCCACGTCATTTTTTTCAGACTTTTCAGTCACCGATATTTTTTTTTTTGGCATAACAGTGTATATTTGTTTCCTTTACATATTGTAGCTGATATTAAAACGTATTCAGAGATATTAATGACATGACCTTTGACTTGAAGTGACCTTTGACGCTCAAAATTGAAATTATACATGAAATTCATTTCCATTTATATCACCGACCCTCAGCAGCGACGGGCGAGAATCTGCGAATACGTAAGTAAACATGTTCTAGAAGACCTGACTGCTGTTCAATTTATCTATCACTTACTTTTTTAGTTACATGTTATGTGAAGTGTTTAAAATGATGTCTCTCTATCCAAAATAGTTTCGACTCCCGGAAATGAGGGGTGCCTGGCATGATTTGAAATAAGTTTTTCTTTTAAAAAATTTTATCCGAGGCTTTGTTAACGAGATATTAACGAAAAACCCCGACCAATCAGAGCGCGAGTCTGCCGGCCGAGTTCCCGCCATTCAAATTGCATGTGGGTCATTCCACGCGAAATCGGACACTTTTACGAGTACGATTTCGGATTTTGTTAAAATTTGGATATGTTGTAGTCTGTAGCGATGTATAAACGTATCTCGAAGGATTTTTGGTTATTTGATAAATTGTTGATTTTACAGCTGTTTGAAATTTAGGGTCAACCTTTTTTCAATAAATCATAACTATTGAACTAACAAACTGATCAAAATGAGCTTTGCGGGTACTTACAGCGAAGACATAAGGGTACCAAATAAAAATTATTTCAGTTAAAAAAAGATATTTTTTAACCATTTATTTTGCAATTGTTTTAAATAAATTCCCTGTTTTTATACCGGGGAACTATTTAAAAATTAAAAAAATAGAGGATATAGCCCTATTTGTCCTCTTTAGGGACATATCTTCGAAAATATGGACACACAGTTTTATGGAGCAAAAAAAAGTTATAAAATTTACATTCCAACAGGTTTTTCATATCTACTATAGTTTTTAGGACATACAAGAGAATAGTAAAAACCACATTAACCTTTAAAGGATGGTTTCAGCACGAAGAACCGAGTATCAGTAAAATCGAAAAATCGTCCGGTATGATTTGTGTAAGTCCCATGGATGGATTTTATCTGTCATATTCATATTAATGTAACTATACCTCATTCAACGAGTCGAGTCAGCTATAAACAAAGGGAGGTGATGACCATTTAGGTAGGACAAGGACATAGACAGTCGACAGTCAATCCTTGGGCTTAGCCATAATTTCGTTATTTTTACTAGCTCATCACATTGAACTAACAATAATTCTTCTACCAAGCAAACCTAAATTAAAAATAAACTATTTCTTCCATAAAACAATCGTGATTGATTCCCTGTTCGAACATCTGCTATTCCAGAACGATCGGTGTCCCCGATAGCCGACATTCGGATAATCGACGTTCCCTGTACACATCCGGAATGGTTCCCATTTCAGTGTGATTGGAAGCCACGAATGGCTCCATTCCCAGGGCTGGTGGATCGCGGATGCAGAGCGATTTAAAAGGGTAATAAGGTCGTGATTGCGGGGACATGGTGATTCCCAGGTACAGCGGGGCGAATCCTCTTACGTCAGGTACACAGGGGATTTCGAGCGTCGCCGTTATAGGTACAATGGGTGCGCAACTAGGTCGCCTGACGCCTGAGGTAGACAAACGAGGAGAGGGTCTCATAGAACGGAGTCGAGGGCGAGCCTGCTGGCTCTTTGCTCTTCCTGACCTCTGGAGTGTCTCCACTTCTCATATTGACCCTACCAAACGGGCCTGGCCCTCCCTCCCTCTCGCCCTCTGGCCAACTTCTGCCATCAGTTAGCGCCACTGCTTGCATCGCTGCCACTGATCTGTATACATCGATACTAGATATGGCGTGAACTGCTACTTGTGAATCACTCGTGATTCGATCACGTTCAGTGATTCGTAATTTCTCGTGATCGTTTCTGATTGGTGGAGAAACCTAACAGTTCTTTACACGCGACACATAATCTGTATATTTTATATTAACAACATCAAAATAAAAATTCGAGTTATATCGTATACAGTGAAGGAATAATTAGAAACAATGAAGAATAATAAATAAATTAACAATTATAAATTATAATCTATATGTTACCTAGCAAATCATTCTTTTAGAATTTCTTGTTTTTTCTACTGATTTTTACAAACACGAATAGTAATGTAATTCATCATAAAATCATATTGAATGCGTTTTTCTGTTTAAAGATCAAGGACTTACGATCGCTGTGAGCAAATTCATTCAAGATAAAAAAATCGTAATCACGGTCGTGAATGAAATTAAATTACGATCGTGATCGTGATTTTGCGATCACTGTGATAAATCACCGGTAGTGATTTTGCACGCCATCTCTAATCGATACGGGATGGGGACTCTTAAGCATAGCATGGGTTGCTGCATTTTGAAGGTACGCCATCTTTGAGAATAAACCACTTTCGCCGCCTACATAGATGAACGGTAACTAATGGTTTCCATTCGCATGTATGCTTCCTCGTATAATTTGTAGAGTAATACAAACTATGTTACACAAGTACTTATTTGTTGCATATAAAGAGCAGGCGTAAACAGGCGTGAACGATAAATCAGTGAGAAATTTAGATGAGACAAGTACTGATAGTATATACTATACTATATGTATACATACTATACGCATAGATAAGTATGTTAAAGAAAAAATAAATTTGTGGTATACATATTATAAATGACTCATTAATTAGTTGAGTTTACAAACAACTTATATATTTTTAACGCATGCGCGCGAATAGGTATACATGTGAATGGAAAGCGTTAGTTAGCGTTACTCTCAAAGATGGCGTATCTTCAAAATGCAGCAACCCAATATACCCCATCACGTATCCATATACAGGGTGTTCGCGATACTTTGTACCATCGTTTTTTTTCGTAAACGGTAAACATAAGAAAACAACTGATGAGAAGGAAGTTGTAGTACAATTTAGTAGCTAGATTTTACTAGTAATATGATAGCGTATCTAAAGTATTTGTATTTTTAATATTTTTCGAGAAACAAAGGTGACCTTAATTTTTTTAAATGGAATGCTACATATTATTTTACACTATATGAAAGCGGGCATTAAGACGAATTCAACTATGTAGGATACTATGATCTTCAGGGTCATACAAGGGCAGAAATAAATTCTCAGAAATGCATTCTTGTTAATGGAAGTCACATTGAACACGAGATGTAGTCTTATTACTACACATACTAGTAAATACAATATTATGAAATGTTAAATTTATTTCTTTAATTTCTGCCCTTGTATGACCCTGAAAACCATAGTATACTACATGGTTGAATTCGTCTTAATGCCCACTTTCATGTGATGTAAAAAAATATGTAGCATTCCATTTAAAAAAATTAAGGTCACCTTTGTTTCTAGAAAAATATTAAAACTACAAAAACTTTAGATGGGCTATCATATTACTAGTAAAATATACTACAACTTCCTCCTCTTCGATTTTTTTTTCTATGTGTACCGTTTACGAAAAAACAATGGTACAAATTATCGCGAACACCCTGCATACAGATCAGTGATCGCTGCACGCTGCCCGCTCGTCGTATTCGTCCTAAAAGACTTGGCGAAAGACAGCGAGGATTAACTGACGCTGCCAGGAAGCGTGGCGCGAATGAAACACTATGGAAGATGAAAATCTTTTCGACTTTCGAAGTATGTCCATGCCAAACTCTTCGCTGGGAGTATAACTTCGTGAAAGTCCGATTCTTTTTGAAACTGTAGCTGGGTCATCTTTTATGAGAACGTGTATCGGTGGATATGAGGAAAAGAAACTTTGAATCGTGAAGTTGCGCGATGTACTGGGTGGTCCACGAAATTGGGGGCTAGTGGCTGGATCATCTTTTCTGAAAGCGTGTATTAGTGGATATGAAGAAAAGAACGGAACTTGGAATCCACGAAGTTGCGAGATATACAGGGTGTCCCACTTTACTTGAGCAATACATCACTTGTTTGAAGATACCAAAAAATGTGAGGGGAAAGTATTATTCGGTTAGAGGGAGGAAATACTATGCTAAGCAAAAAGTTTTCTCAGTCATATTTTTCGAAATTTCAAGGTCATCGAGGTATGTTTTAAATGGGAGTACATATTTTTATCAATGTGGCGTAATCGTTGAGATCAAGACCAATCCAATGACCTATAAAATTTGCGACCTTCTTGTGACCTTGAGCGCGAAAAATCGACAAATGTATGAGAGCAGATTTAAATAATAAAATAACGACGATAGAAAGATTGGTGCAAAAATGTATCGAAGTTGATAGACATCACCTTGAGCATTTGTTGAAATTAATTTTCTGCAAATCAAAAGCAAGTAAGATATCTAAGGCGCTCATGTTACGTGGGGCACCGTGTATAGGATGGTCTACAAAATTGGGAGCTACTGGCTGGGTCACTTTTTATGAGAACCTGTATCGGTGGATACAAGGAAAAGAATGGAACTTGGAATCATGAAAGCGCGTGATATACACGGTGGACCACGAAATTGGAGTATAT